TAGATGACTTCTTATAGTGCACGTAGAGGTTTTTGACTAAAGGGTGGAGGTATTGACTGTCTCATAGATATCCTATATCTAACATGCTGATCAGTCATTGAAGTATTAAAAAAAAAAAAAAATATATATATATATATTTTAAAAGTGACTTAGTGTCTTTTGGGTTCTATAAGAATTAAATAAATAGAATCTTATCCTGTCTATAGAACTTATTTCCAAGGAAGAAGAAAATGTAACATTGCAGAGTTTTTCATCTGAGTGCATGTGAGCCTGTGAGAAACTCAGCTGAAAAATATACCAGAACACAGTCAAAATAGCGCACAACAGTGCTCGTTTTACTGTAAGTGTTGTCTTCCGAACTGTCAGATAGAGTGCTACAGCCCACCTGTACTTTTTTTTGTGCATTAGAGTTGAGCTCAATGCTGGCAGTCCAATATATTTGTTCAGTGAGACAATTTGGTGAGACAGTCTGTCCATGCGTACAAGTGATGCATGTTTAGTAAACTTAGTGCTGTATCCTGCATTCACCTTAGCGCTACATTCAGTTGCCTCAACATCAGTGAGTGCCTTGTTGCCTTACAAAGTTTGACATTGTTCCAAACATCTGTGCTGTATGGATGAGTTGAGAAATGTTCTGGGACAAGTCAAACTGCAATAATTTCTCCGGTACCTCCAAGGAAATCCTTTGATTGCTTAGGGCTTATCCAGAAATGCCTCCTGATTCCAGAGGAAGAGTGTTTAGGAGTGATTTTGGTGTAGGGAATTATCTCGCATAGGTTAATATTATGAGTAGTCATAGGAGTCATCTGGCTGATTAATTGCCAGAAAAGTTGGTCATTTTAGCTGCATTCCACGTGCTTTGCAGCAGAGACGTGGCCAGTGAAAAATAACTGATCAAAATGCCTGAGTGATGACGAGGGTAGCCTTTTGACCGCTAATGTCCATTACTTACTTGTTTATTGTTTATATTACAATTTGAAACCCCTTGGCCATGTGGGAAGTAACCTTATTTACATTCAGCCCTAGGGTGAAGCACATCATTTTTACCTGTTTCCTTTTTAATAACATATTAAAAGGATTCTTTCTGTCAGGTTAGTTACAAAAGCTGAAGAGAAGCATTACTATTAAAACGAGTTATTTCTCTGGTGAAGATAGCCCTGTGTGTTTGTCTCTTGAATGTAAAACATAACTGATTGAGTCATATAATATCTGTAGCTGGAAAATACAGTCTGTATTTCAAGTGCTGTTATCCCATATTGTGTAAACACAGCATATATGCTTATGTAATGGTTTTTTTTTTTGCAAAGTTTTAAACAGGGCATTGAAACAGTGATTTCTAAGAAAACAGCATAAACATATTTTAAAAAACCTGATTAAACAGGTACCTCGTTAATTTTATGACGCTAGCAACTTCTCCCTGTTTTTTATAGGAGAGAATTGAATCTGGCCGTTTGCTTCATTTGGCGTTCAGAAACGTTCATTCAAACCTCTTTACTTAAATCATCCCAAACAGATTAAAAATTATTTATGACAAACTTGTTGCTGCCTGATTTAACAGTTAGATTTACTTTGGGCTTGATTAATCATTTTAAAATGTCGTAAGAATCATATGTAAAGCCTATAGATTAGATACTTGCTGAAGTCTTTGGAAGAAATTTGAGGTAGGTGCTGCAAAGTGTTGATAAATCCATTCTTCTTATTTTAATCTTCTGTTGTAGACAAGGTTTGCAAAACTGTTGATTCCTGGAAAACTAAAAGGTAGAAATATCACAGGTGAACATGAAGTTCATTCCAAAACAGGAAAAAAAAAATAGTGATGGGAAAATGCATGGCATTCTGTTCTGTAGAGGCTTTTCTTCTGTGCCCTTTTCTTGCTCATCTGAGAGCAGATCCAAAAAAGGAGTTTTCTTTTGCAGCAGTGAACTTTAAGTACTTGCCTTGAATGAAACTCAGAATTATGTTAGGTACATGGGCTGCTTGTAAAGCTCATGGAGAGAATGAGGCCTTCAGAACAGGAGCAATGAGCAGCCTGCAAACAATGTGCTGGACATACAGTCAGGCATGACGGCTGCTCCAAGAACAGGAATGGATCTTGCACATTTTAGCCCATGGTGCTTTAATGTAAAATACAGAGACAACTGTGAACCTGTGTATAGTGCCCCTGCCCAAGGCCGAGCGTGCTTGCTGCGAACAGTATCTCCTGGTGTTTTGCTTCTGTGCCCGAAGATTGTGGAGTGCTTGCTACCGTTGTGCATGGTTTCAGGATTGAAGGATAATGCTGGTCAGAGGTGCACGAACAGCTCAAGTGTGACTAGAGTTTCTCTTCTGATTCTATCTGGTACTCCTTTCAAGTCATCATCTTTGGAGAAGCTCAGATTCTAAAAATTATATAGACTATAGATACGTTTGTCCAGGTTGCAAAAGTGCATCTAACGCTTGGAGTATGATACTGCAAGGTATCTTGTAGTGGTTTCCAAGAGATTTAGATATTTCAGTAACGATTTAAGGGAATTTGTCGCTCACTATATGGTCTCTTCCACTTCCTCATCTTTAGCTTGTTAGCCGTGGTTGTGGCACAGTCTTATGCAGACATCCTTCAGAACTGGATGTTCTTTCCCCCCTGTGCCTAGCAGTAATACAGGTTATCTGACAATGGTTCCAGCCTCTTAATTTGTCCTGCATCTTCTTTTAGCTCTTAAGTAAAACTGAACTGGTTACACATTCAGTTGATCTCTTCAGCATTTCTTTGTGAATAATTTATTTTTACAAATGCTTTCAAAACCAGCCCTTAATTAGGGAAAGGTCTTATCTTCCCTCTCCCCACATACTAGAATGGGGAGATTTGGGGATTGTCAGGGTTTCCGAATCAAGCCTTTATTTTTCTTACCTTAAATCTTACGATTTTTTCCTAATCTTCTCCTTCCATTTATTGTTTCCCATTTCTGCTTTCCTCTACAGCATGTTGTTGTCAAAACTCTAGGCTTTGTATTGAATGTAAGAACTTGTTAGCATCTCTGAAAACTGAGAGTCCAAAAACACTTTTACGCCTTGATGTTCCTTTACTAAGATGTGGTTGTTTCATATATCTTAAAGAAAATGGAGTGTGTGGAGTTCTTCTCTAAGTGCTATGTATTTTGTATTCATCTCCTTTCTCCCTGCCTTGTTCAGGGCATTGGTGTAGGTCTTTACCCCATTTATGCAGGTAACTTGGCACACCCAGCAAACTTTGCTTTCCAAAGTTTAACTTCATAATACTGCATTTCTGTTAGATAGGTAGCTTATTTTACAGCAGGAAAACAATTTTAGTAGGTACATATTAACTACATGGGACAGCATTTGTAAATAATCACAGGGAGAGCTGCTGTGCCAATAGTAGGTGTTATTCTTCTCATATGGTTGTTTTGTGATGATATTTAATCTTCAAAAGGCTTTCAGTCAAGTTGTGAAAATAACTTTGGAAATGCTACACATTAACGTGTATTTGCTTCATGATTTTAGGTATTTATTTTTGGGACTAGAAGGTAGCTTCAGCAAGTCTCTTGCAGGAATACACACATCCGTACTAAATCTTGTAATTCTATGTCTTAGTCCAATCCATGATACTTATTTTAAGGTAAAATTTTGATTTCAAGCCACTGGTTATAGTGAAGAGGGATAGGCAGCTAGAGGGAAAGCGACAGGTAGGGCATAGCCTGATGGCAGGGTTGGAATTCCTTCACGGGGATGATGGAGGTGCATAGTTGGAAGTTCCACAGGTTACGCTTTTTATTGTCGTCCACTAATTCATTTGGGTCAATCTCTGGAAGTAAGCCCAAGGCACTGTCATTTTACGGTGTTTTAGTTGATTCTTCTTGTGCTGAAATTAATATTGAAATTCCTTTTTGTCCAGTGGAAGCAGCACTGGGCCTTCTGTTTCAGAGTGGGAATGTTATGTTGTGCGTGAATCTGGATGAGAATATCAGTTGTGCTGCACGATGTGTTGCAAGGTTGGGCTGCTGTCCAGGAGTTTGAGAGCAGGAAGCAGGAGATGCTTTTGGCTTTTTGTAAACATTGAGTATGACCAGCCATGGTTAGTAATGTTTAGTGGAACAGCATTGATTGTTTGGCTATTACTTGTAAATATTTCAAGTGTTTTAGCATGTTTGGTTGTTACTAATACTGTCTTGAATCTGTGTGCATAACTTTATGAACGGATGGTGTAGTAATACATATGTGTTTAACCAGACTTCACTTTGTTAGCGAGTAATAATTTACTGGAAAGATATTGTGTTTGTCCTGAGCTGCCATTCCAATTATTTGGAATTTTATTTTCCGGTCGGACTCTCTTACCACTCCAGTTAAATATGTCCGTATGAAGTACAAAGAGTTTTTGAATCCCAGTGATATAAAGGTGAATGAATAATTTGTTGAAATGTGTGTTAGCACTTAAATTACAACCTAGCCGCATTTCGTCTTTGCTTCCATTTGGAAAAAAATCAACAAAAACATCAAAACTGATGTTTAGCTAAGCTGTTAGGGGTATTGTTCTTCTTAAAGTGCTTTTTGGGGATACTTGGACACAGCAAGCGTATACAAATTTTGGACATGTCAGAATCTGAGGATTGTTTAGAGCTGCTTTTAAGATACTGCATATAGGCTGTTGTTGCTGCTGTTTCCTAAGCCTTTCCAAGTCTTTGCACTAAAAATACTAGCTATCTGTGAAACTGAAGTGGCTTTCATTTTGCAAGCAAAATGCTTCTAATATGATGTAAAAACATACTTATTTTTCCTGTTCAATATTTTATACAGAACACTAGGAAAAATTAGCTTTTAATTTTAAAGGATTACACTCAAGTTTGATTTCAGGTTACTTTGCTTTTTGGACATGACTTCTGACTTCCCATTTCCTTGAAAAACACGTTTGTTAGTACTCTTGTTAAACATAACATGCCCAGTAAACTCATAATACTTGTTTTACAGCTGCCTGCATTCCCTTGCCTCGCCCCAAACCTTCCCCAAGTATATTCTGAGACAGAAGGCTGCTACTTTTAAAGTCATTTTGAGAATTCATAGCTGGCCCCTGCTTGCATGCCGTCGCTGTTGCACGGGTGCGGCGGAGGCTGACCAGTGCTGCTGAGCTGACAGCGTGGGCCAGGTTTGACCAGCACCACTGTTTCCTCCAAACAGCCACCTTTTCCTTAGGTAAGGAGCGACTGTTAAGGCTATGCGTTTTATAAAACAGTAGGATATGTTTCTTATCCTGCTGACATCAAGCTTAAACGCCAAGCTATTATTGTTGTGGTAGCAGAGGAAAAAGGGGTCGGAGGTTTGTCTCCTCCCAGAAGGTACGTGACTTTGAACTTGGAGCTGAGAGTTGCTGTTGTGTCAGTGTTGCTCTCCAGGTAACGGAGAGCAAACTGGAGTTAGACTGGCAAGGTTGAATTCCCCAAGATAAACTGCATTGATTAACAGCAAGGTAGTGGGTCAGATAATTATTTGTTAACCTTTTTGTTTCAGATATTTAATAAGGCATTTAATTATCCAAACTGTTGTTTCCAGAGCACAGTTTTTTAGTTTCAACCAGGGTGAATATCTGAATGTTCTGCCTGGGTTTGAACTGAGCTCTTGGTTAAGGTAAGAGTCAGCCTATGCCATACAAGGCAAATAGGGATACTCCTGCAGTGTGTATATGGAGAGTGGTGTTTATATATATTTATTTTTCAGCTGAAGATGTTGTTACTGAGATGGGAATTCTGTATCTTTAATAACATAGTTGGTAAAAATAGTTGAAAAGTTCAGGTATGTGAAATTTGTCATTTAAAATGCCTGTTTGATACTAAAGAGTTGAACTTGTTGATACCAAAGAGGAATATGTAGACTGTTAAAGGAATGATTGTTTTTAGAGGGCCTCAGCCCTAACCTAACTGAAATAGTGTAATAGTTATAGTAAAAACTAAAAATACCTACCTTAATTGACAGTGTAATCCAGAAGTAAACATAGTACGTTCTGTCCTTTTTGAAGAGCAACTAAAGTGACCATGTGCCTGATTCAGCACGCTGTGAACAGCATAACTTTGTGCTCCTTTGTGTTAGTAGTTAGGTGGAGTACGGAAATGTATATGATGTAGAAAAAAAGACTATTTAAGACTTTCAGGTTCTTGGTGTAATTGTAACACTGAATATTCTTTTAAGTAAATACAACAGCTGTACCAAAAAAAGAATGTTTCTTCTTTGCTGTTGATTATTGACTATCCTCAGTTAAGGCTCATAATTAAGAGACAGTAACATACAGCTTGTAGCTAATGGAAACCATGTATTGTTGGGACTATTAATGATGCTTTCTACAGGAGAGCACTGCATTTCTTTTTTTTTTTTTTTTTTTGTTCTTCTGGAAATGCCATCTTGTTAAAGACATAACTTCATTACCTGAATTCTGTGAAATGCATTTCACTCTGCATGGTTTATGGGTTTTGTGGGCTATGCCAATAGGGAGCTTAAAAAGCATACTTCCTGTGATTAGCCAGTGTGTTTAAGCTTTTTCTCCTGAGATAATTTAATCATGTTCTGATCAAGATTTAGTTGCAGGGAGGAAAAAATCACGAGGACTCTGGTTGTTCCCAGGTATCTTTTTTTCTTTAAAAATCTTATTTTAAAATGTATTCCAATGAAGTATCAACGCTGACTTTTGGTTTCTGTTTAAGAGCAAGTCTTATTGTTGCACTAGCAGAGTCATGGATCATCTCTGTGTGTTTTAACAGAGATATAGGAAGTTGTATGTTTTCATGCTGGATTTATCTTAAATCCTAGTTCAAAACCTTTTTTGTATGCATTCTTAAAAAAAGGTTTCTGGAATATATAAATGGCTTTGTGTGTGTAGAAAGACAAGTTTGCAGTATTTGAAATATATAGATTTAACTTTTTTTTGGAAACAAGAAATACAAAAATGAAATGTTATTATCTCCTACGGAGAAGCCACGTGTGTTATAGTAGAGCTAATGCCTGGATCTAAAATTCCTTGCTTTTTTCTATTACAAGACTCTGTATACTGTTCTTTACTTGCAAACACTTTAGCAGAAATTTTCCAGGCTTATGTTCTCTCCTCCCTCCTTTTTTAAGTGTGCCTTGGAGAAAGTAGCGTAGCAATTTATCAGAATAGAACTATCGTAGAAAATTTCCTACCTGAAAAAATTAAGAGTCGTCGGGAAAGTGAACTCTCGTGATTTGGAGCCGGACAAGAGACACGTCTCTTCTTTCTCTCTCCTTTCTCCGAAAACCTTGCCAGATTTGACCGAGTAATGGGCAGAGGCGCTCCATGTTTGTATATGTGCTGAAAAAGTCATCCAGGGCTTGTACAAAACTTAACTTTGTTTGTGTTTGGAAGCTGTTGTTGGTGAACTTCTTGTTGTCTTCCTGTAGTCTGACTAGAGATGGAGCTCCTGGTAAGCACCAAGAAAACGGAGTGCAGCACCTGCTTCCCCTCAACAAAATATTGTTATGCCTGAGAAGGGATTCACTTAACTCCAAAAAAAAGACAACCTCATGAGCATTTGCATGTGTCTCTCCTGTCCTTCCTAATAATGATTCTGCACATCTTGCAGCCATTTTTATTGATCAGAGTCTCATATCTCTATCTTGGGAGCTTGGCTAGCATATCCCTTCCATTTTATTGATGGGATATGAGAGGTTTTATAGTTGGGAATAGAAACCTGTGCCCCTAATACGATCTCTTTAAGCCCACTTAGCTAGATTGTTGGAACATAGTGAATGCGCGCCTGTAAGTGTGTGTGCTGTTTTTTTTTTTTTTTTTATCTAGACAGGACTACTCTTGCATACTCCCTAGAAATGAACAAATAAATTAATGCAACGTTAACCTAGCTTGCATGCAGCGATTGTAACTGCTGAACGTATGTAGCTGGCCAAGTGGCTGGTGCTTATAAAGAATAATGGGGTGATTGATTCGGCTTTTATCAGACGGAGGTACGCTAAACGCTCGTAAGGCTTGAGCCAGGCAAATGGCTATGTTAGTAATAAGTTCATACGTGTATATAGTGATTTAATTTGTCTTATAAAACAGCTACAACCCAGAAATTTTCCTTCCTGAAACAATACAGGGCTGGGATACTTTAATGTTTTTGAACTCAAGCATGCACGTGAGAATTAATAGATGCATTTGAAAGAGCAGCTCTTCATTTTCCTTGCTGTTGAACACTAATCGTAAACGCAAACTGAATTATAGTGTAATGATTACTTATTTCCTTTTTTCAGGACGCAAAGCACGCTTTTACGTGATAGAATGGATGAACAGTCACAAGGCATGCAGGGGCCTACAGCTCCACCGTTTCAGCCACAGGTAATTTCTTTTGTTTTTCTTTGTTTTTCTTTTTTTTTAAACAGTTATTCAAGGGTAGTCTCAATAAGGTCTCTTAAATAGAAAGAGACAAGATAGAGGACATTAATTCCTTTGGGAAAAGAAGCTTTAAAGAGATAAAATGTCATTTTTGTGATCTTGAAATTCAGTGACTATCAGCCTCATATTTCATATACAAGAATTAATTTCATTTTTCTTGCCCCGTACTGTTCCCCAGCTGGGAGGGGTTGGAGTGAGATGCAAAAAATGAAAGCGGTTTTCCTGAGAGATGGTGAGCTGTTAGACACTATGCGCTTCAAAATTGTATCAGAGTTACCATGTTTATTTCAGCCTGTTCCTTTCAACCTTCTCTTCTTACGCTTCCCTGTGGTGACACTATGTGAATTAGAGCCATTCCATCTTGAAACTGAGCAAGAGGAATTCCCAGTTGCTGTACTTTTGTTAGAAAGACGATGCATGAGAAATTTAATCTTTGGGTATGTGCTGATGGTGTGAAACAAAGGATAAAGATTATCTGATGATGGAGTATATTGGGATATTGCTGCTTAACATTTTCAGAAGATCATTCTTTGAAGGGAGTTTAAGATCCTTTGGAAGCTTGCCCTGCAATATTTGGTGTGATGACCATCCCAGACTAAAAGCTGGACGGTTCTTTACAAAGCTGGCACCTAATTTTGTAATTTTTCTTGTTAACAGCATAGGTGATAGGGCAATTTGTGCCCTTTATTTTACAAAAATAAAGGTGAAAGCTTGTGTAATCAGGGAAAGCTGGTTATTGTAAACTTACTAGCTCCGGTGTTTGCACTGGAGCGTTACGATAATAAAGGTCTGGATTTAACAGCAATTTATACCAGTGCAAAACAATTACAAATTTAAGTTGGATGCGTACCTATGCATGCAGATGTTTTGGGAAAATATATATGTAATTTCAAAACAAAAAAGGAGAGAGAACTGAAAATTCATAGTATGAATTTTTGAAGGATCACCACTGTTATTAGAGGTTTTTCTTTTTTGACCAAATAGAATTAAAACACCATTGTTGAAGGCTTCTTTATTTCTGGGAAACTTCCTGCTGTTTTTGTTTGCTGACTGCAAACAGGTGTCATATTTCTTCATCTCTCAAATGCTCAGTGAAGAGCATTTGAATATCAGTTTCTGATGTACAAAATTGACTTTTTGAGGACTGCTTCAGTTTAGGGCAATTACTTTAACCTGTGCATTCAGTTTATGAATTCATACTAGTAAAATATGCTTCTCTTTTTAATGTTCCAAGTAATATGGCTCATCTTCATGTTACCTGCAGATACCCCATTTTCTTTGCAGTACCTTAAGAGCAGACCTAGAAGCAATTGTACTCTAATCAACAAGGCACTTCCTACAAAAGAAGAAACTAACGTATATTCTCAGCTTTGGTTCGCTAGCAACCATTTGAAAAAAAAATCTGTGTTGTTATTCTTTTTTTAAAAAATCAGTTACTACGTAAACTGCACTAAGGACGGTTCCTTTCCCCCCCCCCCCCTATTTTTTTATCTATCCCTTACATTTCTGCTACACTTGAGTTTTGGATTTATGCTTCTGAGCTGATCTTGCATCAGAATATCGACTATTTCACATTTCAAGGAATAAAGAGTAAAGGGGAGCAAGCCTACTCTGATAGTCATTGCCAGAGTAGTATTAAAATTATGTCACTTGGTGACATTTTCATCTTATTAATGCCAGTTATTTTTCCTTTGAGCCAGGTATTCACTTTAATTTTTATGGATTTCCTGTACTTATGGAGGTACTTGTGGTGAAAATTAATAATGAAAATAAATTAAGACGAGTATTTTTGCAGTAAAAAGAAATTCTTGTAAGTACAAGTTAATTATTGCTTACTGTTTCAAATCATGATGGTGGTTACTGTACCTGATTCCTGGTGGTTTTAGGAGAAGCAAAAACTGGAATAGAAAACATAGCAGAGTATGAGCAAGAGATGAGGTAATGGTTCCGGAAGAATTCTATGTTAGAGTTGGTTGAACCTGTGAAAATCTTCTGATTCTCTTGGTCATTATATTGTATATATTTATATTCTAATTCATGGCAAACTGAATTACACTAACCACTGATAATTGTTGAAGAGGAACATGAGAATGTTTAGCCAAGTAGTATAGTGGCTCAATCTCAATTAATTTGGAAACACCATTTCATATTCAACTGTACAATATGATACAGAGCAGTTAATCTTACAGAAAAGAGTTTCTGTGATCCATTGAGATGTTGGACCTAAACTTTGCAGCCGCACTTTAGGAATCCTGCAGCCTGGCCAAAAAAATTCTTTGTATTAGGCATTTATTTGGTGGCATACTCCATCTCATCTAAAAATTACTGTACTGTATTGCTGGATACTAGAATACTTGCATAATGATTTTAAGGTATAGAACTAAGTAGAACTTGAGTAGATAGTTTAGGCTTATACTTGGTTATTTAGAAGTTCATTTTCTGTTTGAAGTTAAGTGCCTGACCTCTGTGTCATAGTGTTCCAGCTTTGTAGAAAAGAAACTATACTTCAGGAACGTTTTTCAGATATATGAGAGGTTTGGTGATTCTTAAGATCTTGTATCACCCTTTTTGCAGTAAGGCAGAATAATGTGAATAGTAGTCTTGATACAGTAAGCCTAAAATTCTAGAACCTCTTCAAGAGCAGAATTGGAGCTTTATAGCATCTGAACAGATAAAAATGTTGCCTGTTACCAAACCTGATAAATCAAAGGCAGAAGTATGATATTATGGATGATGGTACCATTGCTGATAAACATTTTAGTAGAATTTTTCAGCTAAATGGTTAAAAAGTATTGACATGCAACTTAATGTTCCTAAGCTTCATAACCGTATCACTGAGATAAAGAAGAACAGTTCCTGGTTTTGTGTTTTTTCCTTCATTAGATTCTCTATGAAGTCTGCTGTTGTGAAGTTTAGGATATAGTCTGTTTCTCATAAATCTTGCTTACTTGTGTGACAGTTGCTAAATAATTGCATTTTGGTGGGTTTGATTAGAAGTAACAAGTAGTGGAGAAAAAAACTGAGCGTGAAGTAAGGTTTTCTGTATTATGGTAATTATATGAAGTACTCGAGATAAATTATGACTCTGTGTAATACTTCATGTAAGTTGTATTCATTTGGCAAAAATGGGTGTCTTGCCTACCACTACTGCATCAGCTAAGGGTTTTGAACTGCACCTTTGTGTAGCAAGGGGGTTGCATCTGATTATGTCCTTAAGCTTCCACTGCAGAAACTCTCTAAACGTCTTTAAATTAGCAGCTATCCATATCCAGCAGCAATCTTGTTGGTACGCGGTTTTGGGCGTATATTTGAAGGTGTGGGAGTGAATTGGATGCCAAAATGTTACTGACTTTGAAGGAGTCATAGGCTTCCAAATACTGGGGTTGGATCAAAAGTTCATCTAGCTTAGTAATATCTTCCCAGTAGTGCCTTGAGAAGTATATAATAATATAGTGTATATGCAGAAACATACAGACGTGTATATATGCATGAATGTATGTAGTATGATAGCTCACCCTTCTAACTTCTGGTAATCAGCAGTTTAGATCCTTCCTAAGTTTGGGGTTGAATCTAGACCATCATGTGTAATAGCAGTGAATAATTCTATACTACATGAATTTATCAATCTGATTTTAAACCCATCTCTACTTTTAGCTTCTGCAGTTTCAGATGGCAGCAAGTTCCACAACTTAATATTGCATTTGGTGGTGTTTGTTTTGTTTCTTTTTTTTCCTCTTTACCTTTTCAATTTCTGTAGAACTTTATTATATTATCCCTTATCATTTATTTTCTGAGCTGAAGAGCCCTACTTTATCAAGTCTCTTCCTGTACAGAAGTCGTCGCATATCTCTGCGCAGCCTTGCTACTCTGCTGTGTACGTTTTCCAGTTCTCTTGTATTCCTCTCAAAGTGAGTGAGCAGAACTGTGTGCACCATTCCATAAGCACACAATAGATCTAGCACACAGTAGACTTCAGTGAGATATTTGTTTTCTATTTCATTTGAATCCTTTGTCTAAAAATATCTAGCTTTCTTTTTGATGGTCACTGGCTTAACTTTTCAAGGAAGTATTTCCCCAGTAGTTCAAGGATCCTTTTCCTACGTGGTGGTAGTAGCTAATTTGAAAATCACGATTTTCTGTCTTCAGGGTTTTATTTAACACTGTGTTTCTGATCACTAACCTTGGGATGCTATTTTTTCGCCCAGGCGTTCAGTACTAAGAGAGTCTTTTGCAAGGCTCTGCAGTCAGTTTTTGATCTGATTATCTTGAATGAATTTGGACTATAAGAAAACATTATTGCTTTGTTATATGTATTGAATAATACAGTTTCCTTT